ATGCTTGCCATTAGGCATGTGTGGCTGTGTAAACTTAAATACATTCATTTCCTCAGTCTCGAGCCTCTTTTAACAGTCTCATGGGATTCGGGCTGCAGGCTAGACACACAGGTGTGGGACATCCTGTCTAGGCATAGAGTTCCACTGGACAGGGTGACCACCACGTGGAGATGGAGGGGGGGTGGGGGGTGTCTCACTCCAAATGTTTGTCTGCGTTGAGGTCAGTGACCTTGGGCAAGTTACTTTCCCTTTCTGAATCTTAGCATGCTTGTCAATAAAGTGCATATCATATTAGCTTTTACTTCTGTTCTCTTGTGAGGATTAGGCCCAATAATATTAAGCGCTTCACACCTTGGGACGTAAGTAAATGCCCAAGAAATAGAAGCCATTTTTCTTTACCCAAGTATTTCATAGTTTCATGCCTCCCCCCCCCCCCCACTCACTCTCTCTCTCTGTCTCTGTCTCTTTGCTTCTAGAAGAGGGAAGAATGCTATCTTGCTTCACTTAAAGCTAATAACTGCAAGATATTGCCAACCTGATTTCCAGCTACCCAAAAGGAAGACAGTATTATGGGCTGCAAAAAACACATCCATCTATTGGACTGCTACCTTTTTTTTTTTTTTTTTTGTAATGCGCTGTCTCTGAGAAACATGATAGAGATTTATTTTACTTCCCTTTTGTTAGGAAGTAACCCTTCTGGCTTTGTTAGAAGTGTGGTTTGTAATAATTGCACCCACCCCAGATGGCTCCTGAAAACCCTTTGAAACGCCATCTGTCAGGCATGTGTCCAGCCGGCAGCCTGTCATTCTGCTACAAGAAAAGAGGAGGCGGACCGTCCCTGGTGCTCCCTCCCAGTGCTGCTGAACAGAGCCTGGTACTTTGGCACAGGCCCAGCTCAGGCTGGTCCGAGAATACCCGGGAGCACACCCCTCCTCCCTGCTGAGTGAAATGGTTTTGTCTGGGTGACACACCCTGGAGGCTGGTGGGTGGACGCTCACCACCTACTCACCCTGTTCCCTGCAGCTCAGAGGCCATGCAAAGCATGTTTATTGACATGGGAATGATGTTTCTGCTAGTTTCATTTTTCTTCTAAAATGTAGCATTTTTGAAGTTTTTGATTATATAAAATCCTTTCAGGAAATTTAAGAAGGTTGTTGTCTTTAAAAAAAACTTTGACAAATGGCATGGGAAAACATGCTTGAAAGGAATGGTAAAGATGTCTACAGAAGAAGAGAAAAACTAGCAATGTCTGGCACAGAAAGACTTCAAAGTCCCACAAACTTTTTATTTGGTTTTATTTTATCCCCCTTTTTAGTGGATGAAGTTACTGGCATTTGGACGTGGAGGCTGAGTAGGAGAGTTGCCATATAGAGCATACCTAGAGCAGACCTTTTCATAGCACATTTCATGAAATTCCGCCCTTGCAGGGCCCTGGAGTGTAGAGAATGATACAGACTTATGTGTGTTTCATCAGTGGTCACGTGAGCGGCTTTCATACCTGGCTCCAAGACCACACACAGGTGCGCACACACACACACACACACACACACACACACACACGGGTACACACACCCTTTGCTCCTGCTGCAAGGATGCTGCTTCTTGGTCTTCCATTAAGATCTTTCTCCTGGGGGGTTGCCGGGTTAGCTTGGTTGCTTAAGCGCCTGCCTGGGCAAACCGGTCAGCTTGCTCGTGGTTCGATCCCCAGCTCCGCATGCCACACCACACCCACACTTAAGGCAGCCTGACTTAGCCAAAAACAAAACAAAAAATCCTTCCCAACTTTTGGGCTGGACAAATCAGCAGATCAAAGCACCTGCAAGCAGGCTCAGGGGCCAAGGGTTCGATCCCCTCTGCCGTGCTGGCCCCACCCCCTGGAGCACACTGAGAGGGCAACTGAAACTGGGTGTGGTGCTGCGCACCTGCAATCCCAGCTCTTGGGAGGCTGTAAACAGGCGGATCACTAGGAGTCTGATCTAGTAGTGAGACCCTGAACACCCTGTAGACCCTTTCCCTAAAATAAAAAAAAAAAAAGTCTTTCTCCTATTCCTAGCTTCTGAAAATTGGAAGGTCTTGGTGTCCACTCCATACTTCATGCCTCCTTTTGTACACGTTCTCTGCTTTCCAGAGTCCTTGGTTCACTGATTTCTGTTCCAACCTTGACTCCAACGTTTACACTTTCAAGGTCACTTGTCTTTCATCCCCATCCTGAATAATCTCCAGCCTGACACATCTCCAGAGTGAGCTCTTGTTCTCTGGACTCCCTCCCCTGAAATCATTTTCCCCATTTTCTCAGTACTTACAAATGGCACAACCCATTTGCCCAGAGCAAATGATAAGAAGCCAGTCTTTATTCTTATTTCATGCGTCCTGCATCTAACCCATTAGCAAAATCTCACTCATGCCTTCAAAATATACAGCTAGCATGGTATCAGTTTACATAGTTTACACAGTATGTTTAATAGTCTAGCCTATGGTTAGACTATAATTTAATATATTCATGTTTTATAGTAGAAAATTGACTACTTCCTTACTGCCTGTACCCTATTGTTCTCATCCACACCCTGAATATCTCTCCTGGACACTGACAGCCACCTGACTGGTCTCCTTGCTTCTATAATTGCCCACCTCCCTCTCCTCTGCCCACGGCCTGTTTTCTGTAATGCCAGAGATCTGCTTAAAAATGAATACCTGTGTTTAGGCATTCCCTGCTCCAAGCCTTGTAGCGATTTCCTGTTACCCACAGAATAAAATCTGAAGTACCCTCTGTGGCAAGGCTGCTGTCATCTCCAGCGTCATTTCCATCATGTAGCCTCGCTCACACCAGCACCAGCCCTCCACCTGCACACGCTGCTGGTTCCCAGGGGCTAAGGGTGAGCATGCCGCGGCCCTTGGCCTGGGATGCTTTCTGTTGCCTTGCATGAGCCCCAAGCTACCCTTCTCCTCTCACCTGCCTAAAATTCCTTCCCTGCTCCTGAGCTGGCCTCTCCTTGAAAGGTCCTCTCTAGCTGGACGCCAACATAGCTCCAAGATACCACCTGCCATTTGAACCCACAGAATCATTTCTACATGAAGCTATGTGCTGTTTTTATTTACACATATTTATTTTCTCTCGGTAAGATATAAACTTTATTAAGGTAAGGGCATTTGTTATTTAGCAGTGTTTTCTCAGTGTTTGGCTTGTTTGGGGGGGTCTTAGAACATACTTACCAAGTGAGTGAGACATCTAATGACACATACACATACATGTACCTATACATGTATGTGTATAATGTTAGAGTGTCGTAGTGGGGTTGAACTTAGGGTTCAGTCAGCTCACTTCATTCTAACAAGAACATAAACTATGGTAGCTATTAATGATTACTGAGCTAGTCCTTTCTAAGGAATTCTCTTATGCAGTAAGTACAGTAAACACCTATGGTGTAAGTGCTGGTATTGGCTGGTTTTCATAGTAGAGTGTACCGAGAATTAATGGAAACATGTCTGAGGCGAAAGTTTGAGGATCCAGACAGTGAACCTGTCCTCGCAGACTCTTGCTCTTCAACATTATGTTTCTGATTTCCTTGAGAATTCATTGTGTGCCTGACACTTGAGAAGGAACTGGAGGTGTTAGAAATGGAATCGTACCCGCCACAGTGCGGGAAATAAGAACAAGTAAGGAGAACATACAGGAGTAGATTCATGGAGACAAACAAAAGCCTCCATGTGCTGAGCATGAGAAGCAAACATTGCAGTACAATCATCCTGTAAATAATTTACAGCTATTTAAAATATTCAGATTACAGATATTTTTCCACATTCAGTGCAGTTAAGCCTGAGTAAAGTATGCAACAGGTCTTGAGGTTTTGACTTGGGGTGACGGTGCATGGACGTGGTCATGGCTGTAGGCAGAGCATGGGAGTGCACAGAGCTAGGAGTATGAAGGCTGCTAGGCACAGGCAGCGATTATTTAATGGCTTTAGAGTCGAAAGAGGAGGATGATCGAATAGGAAAAAGTCCATACTTATTAGAAGTGGTGCTCCTTAAACCACCCTCACAGGTAGCGATGCTTTGCCAACTGTGTTGGTCCTGTCCCTGGTTCTGCACATGGGAGCAGAAATCGCAAGTTTTGCTTCATTTTGATCTTCTATAACATTTAATGTAAGTACTAGTACACACAGTATATCGTTGCTTAACATTTAACATAGATGCAAGTAGATGTGGTATAACTGCTTCCTAGTTTCCTTATTTGGTTTTTGTCTAAATCCCATTTTGCTCATTGTTCCATTCTTTTGTTTGAAGCCGGGTTGAAATGATAAGTCTCTGGCCCAGAGCTTTAGCTGGGAGAACTTAGTCCTCTAAACATTGTGTGTATTTCATAAGAGAAACTGTTACATTTATTAGACATTGAAAATATGACTAACTTCAGGCAGGGGGATAATTCTTCCACCGACTGCATGTCCTTTCTCTGTAGACAGAACTCGTGGGTGGCCCATTCGCCGGGCATATTAATCGCACGGAGAGCAGCAGCGCTTTGACCCCGGAGGATGTCCAAACACAGAACGCAGGCGATCTCCTTGCTCTAGTGAGGTGTTTATGTAGTGGGTATCATACTCTTCAAAGGGTTTCTAATGTTGGAACTTGCCAGATATATTGAAAAGCACAAGGGTTTTACATCCTATGATAAAAACACAAATTCCTTAGACTCTGAACTTAGGGTAGATCTTGTAGTATTCACTTGAGTACTAAAAGCTGCTGGTAGATAATGTTGGCTGTGGAACATCTAATCCACCTGCTTCGTGCCGTGCGGGTTTAAGAAGTCATAAAGCTGTCTGGATTCTTACTAGAGGGGGCCTGAGGGTGCTGTTCTCCTAGAAGGAAGTTGCCTCTCCAGGTCCTGTCTGGACAGGTAAGTGGCAGAGAAGCTGGCCTACAGCGCAGGTGAGGCTACTGCACCTACATGCGGCACTTCCTGTTCTGGTGGACTGATGGCTTCCTGTGCCTTGTCTTCTCTGCTGCAGGCACAACCCGCTCTCCCAGGGAAGGAGAAGTGCCTGGTGTGGATTACAATTTTCTGACTGTGAAGGAGTTCTTGGACCTGGAGCAGAGTGGGACTCTCCTGGAAGTCGGCACCTATGAAGGTGAGGTGCTGCAGCCCCGGAAGAACACGCCTTCTCCTGGGCACCCAGGGAACCCGGCCTTCTGGGCAAAACGTGTTCAGGACTCCGAGGGTCGAAACAAGTAATGGTTGAATTGCAGGCCCTTGCTATGGAGAGAGCAATTAAGTGCTGGGAATATGTTTGTGGAGCTCTTTAAAATGATTTACCTTGCTCCAGAAGTTTCTCTTTTAGTTTATTAATTTCAATATGTTTTGTTTTTTAATATGGACATGTGTGATATTCTAAGGAAGAGGAAGAAAAATAGTAAGTAATAACAAAATGTGATCTTGTAGTTAGTGCTGTTTTAATTTTGAAGAACTGAAATAGCATTCTTTGTACTATGTAGTTCTAAATGTATTTTAGTAGATATATTTATATAGATATATTTACATAGTTCATAAGGCAAAGTATTTTTATAATAAAATATAGTGAGAGTGATTACTTTCAATAAGTAATCTTCATTAACCTGTTTCCTATTTGCCAAATTTTCAACTTGATATTATAAGCTGTTACTCGCAACTGGTGGCTTCTGATAACTTTTCTGAAGTTTCTTTATGTAAATATAAGTGTGTGCACGTGGGTGTGCTTTGATCTCTTGCCAGCTTGCACAGTGCACGCTGCTTGGCATCCTGCTCCTCCTGTCAGCTGTCTCTTAAGTAGGTCTTGGCAGTTTAGTACCAGAGCGCTGATAAGCACTTGGGTTATTTTCAGTTTTTGATCTGTCAGAATGCTGCTGCATTTAATAACGTGAGCATATATCATTTTATACATGTGAAACTGTAATATAGGCTGAGATCCCATACATGGTATTATTAGGCCAAAAGCAAATGTGGATAGAAAGTTGCAGTTTCCTTATTTATCTTGTATTTTACTTTATTGAACTGGTTTTCAATAAATAGATATTTATCCAAATTGATTTTAATTTTAAAATTAACTAATGTAATAATTCTATATATGCAGGGTGTTTGGTTTCCATTCTGTGTACAAAATGCGCAGTGATCTGACCAGAGTAATTGGCATATCTATCACTGCAGCAGTTGCTGTTTCTGTGTCAGGAATATTTGAAATTCTCTCTGCTATTCTGAGAATGTAGTTAATTTTACCTACTGCAGTTGGTTACCCTGCTGTGGAGCAGGACGTTAGCAGTGACCGCCTCCCCGCTGCATCCCTCGTCCCATGGGCTCCCCTCCCAGCTGCTCCCTGGCCTCTGTGTCCCAGCCTATGCTTGGCCCGGAGGTCAGCTTCTTTAGTTTTCACCAACATGAGAGCAGAAGGCAGCGTTTCGTGAGCCTGACTTCCTTCCCAGAGCCTTCACACTATGCTGCCACCAGTGACAGGAATTTGGTGTTTTGGTGGCCAAATGATATTCGGTTGCATGTATAAACCACATTGTCTTTATCCAGTCATCTGTCCCTGGACACCTAAGTTTACTGCATATTTTCGCCCTTTTGTAAGACTGATAAGCATGAATGTGTAGCTGTGGCTTCCACATAACTGACTTTCCTTTGCCTTTCAGTCAGTTGTGCAGTTGCGGAGTGTATGTTGTTCCCTTCTAGCTCCCTATAGTGGCCATCCTAACTTACATTCAGTGTCTAAAAGGTCTCCTATTGCCTTGGCTTTACTAGCATTTGTTGTTTTTGATCTTTTCCAGAATAGCTATTCTAACTAGAATAAGATGTGATCTCATTGTGGTTTTGTTTTCATTTTTGAGATTATTGATGTTGAGGTTTTTAATTTGTCTTGCTTGGTCGTTGGTGTTTCTTCCAAACAGTATTTTCTGAAGACTGCGATAGTCTGATTGTTCTTGAGAGTGTTCTCTGACAAGACGGAAGTGCTGTCATGTGATGTGCTCATTCGGTCAAACTGTTAATTTGGTAGCTTATATATATAAACTGTTAAAATTTAGGTGTATTATATATTCATAAGGACATTTTAAACGTAAGGTTTAAAAACAAAAGACAAAAAGGAAGTTGCTTATTATTTTATTTAGAATGGTGCAACTTTGATGTAATAAAGTGCCCAGTACAGACTGTGGCTGCAGGTCAGGTAGTCAAGGAGCGTAGGTCTGCGGCCTGTGGGGTGGTTGTCTCTGGAGAAAGAAAGGTATGCCACGAGCCCAGTCCGAATGTAATGCATGTGCAGTAGCACTTGTGTGTTCACTAAGTGGCCAGTTGTGAGCCCAGTCATCCTGGCTGCTGCTAACCATCAGCAGGAAGTGAAGTGAATGTGGCAGGTGGCCCTGGGCGGGGGCGGGGTGCCGAGGGGAAGGTCCAGGAGTGAAGTGAGCAGGAGAGGGCGGGGTACACGCAAGGGGTTTCTTACCCATTTGACTCTGCATCAGATGGCCACCGCTTCAATAAAGCAGGTGAAAAACCTTCTTGGTTAGTAGATATTAAATTGTTCTTTTCTATTACATATACTTTTGTAGTTGTTTGTTTGTTTGTTTGTGGTACCAGGAATCAAACTCAGGACATTACAACCTGCCAGACAGGCACTGTGTGCTGTGCTGAGCTGTACCCCTGGCCCTCAGTTGTTTTTATCTGACTCATTTTGAGGAGCATGAGTTCCCAGATACGTAGTATTTTCAGAGAGACACAACAAAAGTGCAGGGTGGGAAGGCAATGCCGGTGACTTAATCAGCAGTTTCAGTAGGAGACAGACTGGAGAAAGTCTGTACTCAGTGTTTGTGTCACAGATTGCACAAAGGCTGAGTAGGTGCTTCTCAATTAATTTATCATGCAGCAGGAATGACTGTCCCTTTTTCTGACTTCTGCATGAGAATGCTGCAATCCAGAGCATTAAGGAAGGGTGTCGAGGCTGTGCAGCAGTTGCCGGATCAGGAGCCAGTCTGAGCTCTGTTTGACTTTCAGACCAAGGTGCAGGCATAGGGAGGTAAATGTTTTTTCAGAAAGTATCAACTTGTCTTGCATAAGACTTTCTGTGAGTGCTGGCTGGCTACTTTCAGGTCTTCCCACCTCTCAGGTTCATCGTCTCCACTTTTTACATCGTGGATGTGTTGTGTTCAGCCTTTGGCCTTCCAGTGGTTCAATTCCTACCCATGAGCTGGCTCATGATTTCTTGAAACTGACCTGGGTATGCCTTGTTGACTAACTCATGCAAGTGGAGAGATGGCAAAGTGGGTCTTTTGGTGTGTAACAGATTCTGTCCTGAGGGTAGTGCCGACGGGCCCTCCCCGGCCTCCTTTGCCATGCCTGGTGACCCCTCCTGCGGACCCTGAGGAGCAGACAGGCTCTGTCACAAGCCCTGGCCTTCATCGCAGCCCTCCGTTGTAGAGCTGGCTGTGCTTTGCCAAGTTTTGCAGTGTTCCAGGTGTCTGTTTTCCCTTCAGTAAAACAAGGGTACTCACAGGGCTTCCTCTGAGGTAGACTGAAGGAAACAGCACTGGAAAGGGCTCAGCCGAGGGGCTGACACACGTCCCTTCTCCATCAGCATCAGTTCTGGTATTTACACACCACACTGGTTGGACAGTGGAATGCCACAGTGGACTCCCACCTTTTTTCTAGTGGGCAAAGCAACTCCGCTCACCTCATGGTGCTAGCCATGTCTGTACCTCCCAGACTTTCCTTCGCTTGGTCTCTACCAAGTCCAAAGAGAAAAGTCTAGTACAACACCAGAGTGCATTCTTTAACTCAAGAGTTTTATAAAATTCTAAGTAAAAGTGATAGAGGTGCTTGATGCTGTGGCCTGGGTAAGTATCTCCCAAAGGCCTGGGCGTGGTCCCCCAGCCAGTAGCGCTCCTGGGAGGTGGCAGAACCTCTAAGAGATGGGGTCTAGTGGAAGTCTTCCCGTTCTTCCCAGGTTGTGTCCTGGGAGGCAGGCTGAGCGCTGCCGCCTCCTCTCTGCTTCCCAGCCAGGTGAGGTGAGCAGAGCACGTCGCCCATCGTCCACTTGCCATATGATGTGCTGCTCTGCCACCACCCCAGAGCAGGG